TTATAAATCTGATTATAAATGCTTGGCACACTTACCTGGACCCTTCCTGTCCAGCCTTAGCTTCACTTCCCATTTATGGCCAGCAGGCAGTGTGTATAAAGTAGCCAGTGGGCACTTCATTCCTAGCAAACACTCATTAAGTACCTGTTACACATCTAGGCCCTGTGCAGGGAATGCAAAGGTGACTGAAGTCTTTGCCCTTACAGAGCTGATAGCATAGGGGAGGCCAAATTTTTATTGGGGGGGTACTGGGAACTGAACTCGGGACCTCACACTTGCCAGGCTGGTACTGTACCACTGAGCTAAACCCCCGTCTTAGGACCAACTGTTTTTAAAAGAAGAGATGGGATCAAAAGCAATACAGAAGAAAACCAAGTTGTGTTCAGCGTTCTGGCTTGTAAATGGTTTCCCCTTAAAGAACAGGTCAAGTATTATACCAGTGATTTCCATTAGGTACAAAATACTAAAGTACTTCATAATAAAATACTTTTACTCCTTTGGAAAGTTTAAATTGGGGAATACAGTGGGCATGGTAGCATGTACCTAATCTCAGCAATCAGAAAGGCAGGACTGCCATGAGTTCAAGGCTGGCCTGGGCTATATAGTGAGTTCAAGCACAGCCTAAATTATGTAACAAGATCCTGTCTCAACAAGAGACAATAATAAATTGAAGAGGGTGCCTGCCCCTTAGCTCAGTTCTTTTAAGTGGCTGCCTCAACAAAGCAGTCAGGCTCAGGCTGCTGTGGTTCGATCCCCACAACTCAAGCCAGCCAAACCTGCCCTGAAGGCATTCGGAGCAAAAATAAAAAAAAATTTTAAAAATAATAATAATAAATTGAAGAATAGGCACAGATGGTTAAGGTCAGGGCATGATGCTAAGGGAAGTCATCTACTCATAAGGGAAGGCTGGGACCCAGGGTGCCTGGCTGGAAGATGTCCTAGGCTACTGAGTTGAAGCAACGTTCCTCTAACCACTGTGTACCAGGATCATCTAGAGGACATGAAACAAGTTGCCAGGCCCCACCCGCAGTTTCTGCTTCAGTCTGCTCTGTAAGCAGTTCTCAGTAGTTTTCCCACTGATGCTGGTACTTCTGGTTCAGAGCACAGGCTTGAGAACCAAGCTGCAGTACAGACAGCCTGGGCAAACCCTCAGGATGGCCTGAAGTGGAGACAGGCAGCTAATGGAAACCCAGGGCATTTGAATGAACACCAAAGATACTCTGAAATTAGTGCCAAGTATCCAATACAAACCAGGCTCAACCTGAGAAGTTGGCACATGTCACCACCTCAGTGAAACGGGCTTGGATGTGACTTTAGGTTCCTTTTGAACACAGTGACTATGATTGTACAATTTTTTTGACTTGAAATCATGACAGGCTTATAACAGTTACACTTAAAACTTCTTTATCCAGATCCTTTAAAAAACAGGATCTTTATTAAGAAATCACACGCTTTGCCCACTTTCCTTGACCAACCTGGTGTCCTGGGAAAAGCTACATAGTGTGACACACATTTCATACCAACAGACTGGTTGCCAAGGAGATCCTACTGCCACAAGCTCACTTTCCCTCTCCTTTTGATTGTGGGGTTACCAGGAATCAAACTCCGGACCTTGTGCTTGTCAGGCAGGCGTTGCACCACTGAACCAAACCCCTGACCCTCTCCTTTCCCTCTGTGCTAAGAAAACAATTCTGGCCAAGAGCACAATGCTGAGAGGCAGATGACATGAATCCAGCCAATACTCAAGATCTGAGGTGATCATCAGGCCAGTATGTCCTCTGCGCCACAAGTAGCAGGAGTGGAGTTCAAATGGCCTGAAGGGGCATCAGTTTCTGGGAGCAGTTAAGATGTCCTTCCTTACATAATTACAAGGGAAAAGCCAAGACAGAATTCGCGTCTACTTGCTTGCTCCAAGAGTCTCCTTTCCCTAACTTCATCTGAGTCATGAGGTTTCCCTAAAAAGAGAAACTGCTATTCTCAAGAAAATATTTTTTACTGCTCTAGGCATCAACCCCAGAGCCCAGGGCATGCTAGGCAAATGATCTGCCATGGTAACTTGTTAACTCCTCAGTGATAAAATTGCTCACATATCCCCCCAGTCACAGGTAAGGACAGTTTATTCACATGAAAGTCCAGAATCCAGGACTTGTGGAAGCAAGTGAAGTTTCCTAAAGGTTTATTTCTTGTTTCTCTTCCAGTACTGTGCCCTTGATTCTTGCATAAAGTTCTGAAATGCTGGCTCTTCGTGGCTTTCCTCTGTAACTGCAAGGAGGAAAAAGATGATTTTTTACCACTCTTCAGACAAGCGGATCAGAGCTCCTATCACCCACCATCAGAAGCAGTGCTCTGTTTTTAAGAAACTTCTTTAAACTTAGCATGTTGATGAATATACAGCTTTCTAAGTGAGGAGAATACTTCATTTATAAATTGCCAGTTCAATGAGATCCCACTCCTGTTTTTTAATGTTATTTTTAATTTTGTGGTATATTTAGCCAAGAGAAATAAAAACATCCACACAAAGACCTTCTTGTAAATTTCTGTGGCACCTTTACTAGTAACAGTTCAAATCAACCCAAATGTCTGTTAGCTAACTGTAATACATTTGAGTAACAATATTACTCAGTAATAATAATGTACTACTGTACTTCTGTACTGATGAACACACTTCATGCAGGGCCGGGGATAAAGCTCAGCGGCTTAAGTGCCTGCCTGGCAAGCACAAGGTCCTGAGTTCAGTCCCCAGTACCACAAAAAAAGCCAAACAAAACCATACTCCATGCAACAAAACACAACTATCATTATGCTGTGTGGAAGAAAAACAATATAAAAGACCAAATGCAGTAATTCTACTTATATGCCACTCTGGAATAAGTAAAGTAGTTGGAACAGAAATCAGCCGGTGGTTGCCAGTAACTAAATGGTTAGGAGAAAAAGCCCAAAACGGCTTTTAATGTGACAGAATTATTCTGTATTCTGATTATGATAATGGTGGAATGTTTGTGAAAACTCACCAAACTACATACTTATTTTACATCACTGTTTTACTATTTCTAAATTATAGCTCAATAAATCCAGTTAAATGAGACAGACAGGAGAATCTCAAGTTAATGGCTGGCCTGGACATCTTAGCAAAACCCTGTCAAGTAAAAAGGGTTAGAGATGGCAGGTATGGTGGTGTACATCTGTAATCCAGCACTCAGGAGGGTGAGATGGAGGAGTGCCACAAGTGTGAGGCCAGCCTCGGCTAAACCGTGAGTTGAAAGCCAGCCTGGTGGCGCACACCTATAATCCAGCTCTTCGGAGGCTGTCAATAGGTGGATCATCACTACAAGTCTGGTCTAGTAGTAAGAGCCTAAACTCCCTGTAGACCCATTCCTAAAATACAAAAAAAAGTAAACAACTGTTGCGTTTGGGGGGCCTGTCAGTTAGCTCAATTGTTTAAGTGCCTGCTTTAGCAAACGTAGTCAGGCGCAGGACACTGTGGTTCCAGATCCTCATGCCTTACCAGATCTGTCCTTAAGGCATCCTGAGCCAGCCGAAAAAAGAAAAAAGAAAAGAAAAAGAGAAAAAGAAAGACAGCCTGAAGTAGTGAGACCGTCTTTGAAAAAAAAAAAAAAAAAAAAAAAAAAAAAAAAAAAAAACAACTGTATCTGAATTAAAATAATATAAAAAGGCGGCTAGAGATGTAGCTCAGGGTTCAATTTTCAAACGAAGGAAATATTAGACGGAGCTGACAGGCCAGAATGCTGTACAGAGTGGGAGACAGCCTCCAGACCTACTCCACCCTAACCCTCACAGTCCTTCTCACTGGCTTAACTCTGTTCAGACCTTTGTATGCATTCATTATTTTCTCCTGCTTTATGGGATTGAACACAGGGCATTCATGCTGAACTATATGCCCAGCCCATTTACTTTTTGAGACAGGGTCTTGCTAATTCCCTGAGTTTCCCAGGCTCAGCTGAAACTTGTGATCATCCTGCCTCAGCCTCCCAAGTGCTACACCCAGCTCGTACACATTCTTAAAATACTTGGGGTTGAAGATGTACCTCAGTGGCAGAGTGTCCTGTTAGCATGAGTGAGGTCCTAGGTCCATTCCCCAGCACCACAAAAAAATAAAAATAAAATGTTTGAAACTGTTTAGCTGGGTAAACAGCTAAACAGTACAATGTCTATAATTCCAGCACTCAGGAGGCTGAGGCAGAAGTATCGCCATGAGTTCCAAGCAGCATAGGCTACATAAAGTTCACTCATGACCACCTAAACTACATAATGAGACACTGTCTTAAGAAAGAGAAAAAAAAATTTTTTTTTTCTTTTGGCGGAACTGGGGATTGAACTCAGGCCTGTGCGCTTGCCAGGCAAGCGCTTATTCTACTGAGCCATCTCCCAGGCCAAAAAAAAAATTTTTAATGTATTTAGTTGTTGCAGGGTCTCACCACGCAGCTTGGGTTTGTGGTGATCCTCCTGCTTTCCGCCTTCCCAACGCTGGGATTACAGGCGTATGCCACCACACCTGGACTCTGGTCAGCTCAACCTGCCCTGGGGGTGGGGCTGTCGCATCATATGGTGCCAGAGATCTAACCAGGCTCCCTGCACTTGCCTAAGCAGGCACTTTAGTCTGCTGAGCTATCTTGCCAGCCCCAAGAAAACTTTTTAATTAAAGTATATATATATTCCATGTACAGGTACAAATTCCTTATGATGAATATAATCATGTATATCTAAAATGTACCAATAAACTTGATTTTAAAAAGAATTAAAGGGTCAGGGATATATCTCAGAGGCACAGCACCTGCCTGGCAAGCAGAAGGCCCTAAATTCAATTCCTAGTAGAATGAAAGGAAAATGAAAAGAAAATAATTATAACTGAGTTAGAATGTAAAGATCAGGTGAAAGGCCTGTAGCTGAGTATTCACCACTTAGGCCAGAACTCTCAATACAGGAAATGCTGCTGGAGCTATATCCTTCACCGTCTCATCCTCCTATCACTAGCCACAAGCTTAAGCTCTTCTCTCAACAACGAGAAAGCCCTGGGTGAGCAACACAGCTGTTCTGTATCCAAGAGCCACCTTGGCTACCTCACCTCTGTGATCAATATCGTCAGTGTCACTATCAGCATCTTCATCCTCTTCACCCAAGGTTCCCCGAGTCAGGATCAAGTCAGAAGGGTCCAGCGTGGAAGATGCACTGTCTAGAGAGAAAACACCATCAGAACATGCACTTCTTCCAAAAGGCAGTCCCGGATCAGAAACTGCAATTACAGGATGAGAGTGTTCATAATGAATACAAACGCAGGCCCTGGCTGCTGCTTTTTTTTTTTTTAATTTAGGGCAGGGTGTACAGGGTCTCAATGTGTAGATTGGACTGTAGTGATCCTCCTGTTTACAGCCTTTACAGCCTCCCAAATGCTGGGATTACAGGCCCGCACCACCACTCCCAGTCTCAATTGCCATCTCAGCGTGCCCCGGGGGCGTGGTAGCATGGAAGGCCAGGGGATCAAACTCGGCCCCTGCATCTGCCTAAGCAGGCGCTTTAATCCACTGAGTTACTTGGCCGGCCCTCCTAAATGTACTGCTAGTGTCACTTCACAGTCTGTAATAGATGAGTTCACAAAGTGCCGTTATGCCTGATAGTCATGGAGCCCTGTACCTCCCTCTGAAAAGAACACGAGACACTCAGTCCAGGAGAAGCAGCGTTCTTTTCATTTGCTTACACCCTAGAAGACACGGCCAATACAGTTTTTCCCACAAAGACTTAAGTCACGCGAGCAGATCCTGCGTGCTGGTAGCTTGGAAAAAAGAGCCCTAGGAGGCTTCCTGGTGGATGCCAAGTTCAGAGAAGGTCTGAAGAAAGAACAGGGTGAAATGAGAGAGGAACCATCCTTCAAGAAAGGGAGTAGAAGGCCTGGTGTGGTGGCCTATAATCCCAGCACTCAGGAGGAAGAGGCAGGAGAATCACTTGAGTCTGAGGCCAGCCTGGGCCACAAATGAGTTCAAGGCCAGCCTGAACTGCACAGTGAGACCCTGTCTCAGACCAAAAAAAAAGGAGTAGGGCAGAAAATAGGGAGTAAAATATATTAATAGAGGTAAAATTCCCTAAGGCAGAGATGGCAAACCTCTCAGAGTTTTTAATAACAAACAACTGGCTGTCACACAAGTGCCATAGGTTTGTCACCACTGCCAGAGGGAGACAAGAAGTCTAATCAAGAAACTGCTAGCTGTTTCCACCCTGTGGAACACACTTGCTATGAGAACCTAAAGCCACTGAAGAACACAACCACTCTTCGGGAACCAAGGAGGCTTTTAGGAGCTCGCTGGGAAATAAGAGCCACAGTCAGCGACCTAAAGCGGCACAAACTAAAGGGACCTGTGGCTCTGAAGGGACAGTGGCAAGACATGCTGACAAGTCAATGCTTCACTCTTTGCCCACCCAGGAATTACCTAACTCTCCTTTCCTGCAGTGACCCAAGGAAACTGCACTCATCTTCAAGAGCCTCTTTGGATACAGCACACCCTTTATAAGACCAGACACAACATCCGTCAGGGCGCGTATTTCTGCGTGTCCGAAGGACTGTCACAGAAATTCACACTGCTGAGACGTGCACTGCAGACAGCACAGGAGTTCTCAAAACTGGTAAACCCAGTCAGTTTCCAGCTTTGCTGTTCTCAGCTGGAGAAGAGCCAAGGGCTTTCATGAACAGAAATTTCCCTCTTTTCACAAAGATGTCCCAGAAAATAATGTTAGTGTTGCTGATGCAGAAAAAAATGAAAAGTACATCCAAT